TTAGTGCCTTTTTTTTCTTCTCTTGAAAATGTCCTCGATAAATTTATGATATCGATAAAGTACATAATGTCCATGTCATAAGTCCTTTGTATACTTGTGGGGGCGGGGCAGAAGAAAAGAAGGCAAGGTTTAGAGTTCATGCTTTTTTTCTGGCCCCAAAGAATACCGAACGGTATTCTGGCAATGCCAATGGCTTGTTTTAGCGCTGATGGGGGAGCGCATGCGCACTCGCTCGTTGACGTTGACGGCAGCGTTGGAGCCAAGACTTTGATCCTCAAGGCCAAGGCTTTGACCTTCAAGCCTTAACGCTGAGGCCCCAAGAATCAAGCCTTCAGGCAGCCTAAAGACTCAGCAGCAAGGTACTACATCACTGGTACACGGATTACTGTTGGCTCACTGGCCTCCCATTTTCCTTTCGCTATCAGGGCACGCCCCTAAAGGAGGAAGCTGCCCTGAGCAGTAATTAATCATTGGTGCATTTGGAAGGTACGGCGAGCAGGGGATAGTGGCGAGGCTCAGCTCTCGCTGGGCCCCCATCTTGTAGAATAGATCCGAAGCTTCATTCAAGGGCTTCATTCAACGTGGAAGGTGATATTACAGTTATCACATCCTCAGTGCAACATAACTTGACGCAAACCAGCGAATTGTGCCTTATACGTGCACTGCCCTAAATTCAGGCGACATTGAAAACAGTGTAAAATCAACAAAGTTCACAGCTCCAGTGCGGGCATCCGAAGTCCCTGAGGCCTCTCCGACAAAACAGATTTCATTTGATTTTTCAAATTTTAGTAGGCTAACCAATTAAACTTTTGATATCCGCCCAAAACAAACACCCCTCTAAAGTGAACGTTTCCAAGTCTTCACAGCAGCCATTTTTCAAATGACATCCATCGACTTTCTCAGGTTCTTCTGAAAATATTCCAATGACATTTTTGTCCACTTTGTTCCCGGATAGGAGCGCAGGGCTTGTATCTGATCCTGGACTATACCTATACAATCCCACAACTTTTTGGCCCACACAGATTCCCTTTTTCGAAAGAAACTGCGGGGGTACTTATCAAGCGCCTCGGCCCGGCGGAGGATTTTCCTTGAACTTGGACGGTGTACCCTTATGGTTAGGATGAAGAGCCCTCAATCGTGCCAGCATAGGGCGAATACGTTTTCAGTTTGTCCACAAAAGCTGCGACATTTTACTTGACGATTCGGTATGTTTACTGTGACATAGAGATTGCAAAAGTAGGTCAGGTCATTCCACCCGTTCCATTGATTAAGACAAAACAACGTCGTGGGTCCCGCTATCGTGACGAACCAACCCGCCTTCAAAAGTCATACACCTCTTCAGTGTCGTCCCAACCCCCCTTCTCCCACTTCCCACGGGAGTCCCCTAGCTTGCAATAATTAGCACAAAGAGCCCTAGTCCCGAAGATCCATCACTGATGCCGGTGCAGAATTTCTCGGGACTCACTCTCCGAGTTTCAAGGGGAGACCCTAAGAACAACACGCCCGGGGAACATTCCAGACACGTCGAGCGGACCTGTCAAAAAAAAAAAAAAAAAAACACGAGACAGCCGACACTGCATGGCCAATGCTACGGAGAAGCTTCGTCTACAGCATACAAAAATTAATAATTTGCTTGTTGAATCCAAATAATGTGGAGAGCAGTCCTGAAGCAATCGCTTATATTATTCAGTTTGCCCTGGGCACAAATTGATGTCGATGATGAACGTGCCAAGGGAACAATGTGTAGAATCTAAGGTAGGGCAATGACGGTACCGATGAACCAGTATATTTCCCAGTTGAATTCAGTGTGACACCTAATTGTTTGTAGTCTTTCTTGCTTTTTGACGCCATGTTTGAAACCTCTAAATCCCGCGGTTTAGGTTAAGGCACGACTACAAAGAACCTCGAACACGGGCAGGATTCAAACTCATTACACAGGATATTATGGGTTAGGTTGTCGGGTCGACAATAAAAAGCGGCCGCTCGAAAACCTAAAAGTTAATTAATTTAGTTTTTTTTTAAACCCTGTCCGACGTGTATTACAACACTGTATACTGAGTGTTTGCCCCTGAAGGCAGTGAAAAAACAAACAAACCACAAGCGTACTCGGGTGGGACTCAAACCCACGACCTCCTGCTTACTAGTGCAGACGTCTTAACCACTCGACCAGGGGAAAAAAATTCAAATTAATTAACATCTCCCCGGCACAAATCCGTCCTTGGAAACAACTAGAGGTTGTTGGAAGCCCGTGGGTTGGGTTGACGTCATAGTTTGCCGCCCTCTGTTGATCAGAAGAAACCAACCCTAGCACTCCCTCTCCGGGATTGTAACGGTGATTGGCCGCTTGAGTCCAACCCGGGAGGGGGGGGTTCATCTCCAACCAATTTCCGCCGGTGTTCGACTGCACATTCCACAATCATTACCTCTCCACTGACCTTCGAGTCGCAAACTCGTTGTGTGAGTTTCTGAGATGTCCACTGGTTTCTTTTAATGACATTATGAGAAGTCTTTCCACATGTCGAGCATTCGCAGATAAGATTGTCGTCAATAAATTTCAGCAAGTCGTAGACGGGCACCGTCGCAGCCTGGCGGTAATCACAGTTTTTTAGACGCCGCGCTGTCTGTAGCACCAGCGAATAGCACCAACACCAGGAGTGTGACATGCACCTGGCGTGGAAACGAGCCACTCCAATTATGCATCCGATCAAGATGGACGGCCATCTCATTAATTGACTAATTGGTGCCGTTCGTTATTATCTGGCGACCAGCAGGAAGAGAATGGGCACTTGCCAACGCTCATCACGTTGTAATTAATAACACTCGTTGCGCGATGTGGAAGTGATTGCTCTTAGTCTTATCAAGCTGGACGGCAGGTTAGCCTTCGAATTATGGCGCGGCCATTTTGATATCGATGTTCTTTGTACATGTTTCTGTCCTTTGGCACCATAACATGTACATTGTGTTAATGTACGAGTATTTTTCCCCGAAAGTCGTTTACTTCTCGTGTGCTGCATCTTGCTTTGGTTTTTTTCAGGTCCGGTATCCACGAGGCCTATGTTGCTAATCACAAAAACATGCAATTTCTTTGTTTCGTACAGACCCATACAGTCTTGCTTACTTTCAAGATATATATTTCATCATATGTTGTCAAGTGGTAGGTTTTTCTCGTCCAAGATATGTTATGGGCCGGGGGTTAGGACACCAAACATGGTAAAATATCTGGCACCTGGGATCAAAGTAGTGAAACAAAATGGCCGCTTTGACGGGGCCCATCATCTGCGATGGTAATTAATACGAGATTGGAAAAGTTACAGTTCGTCGGGTGAGTGCTATAAGGTCGTTATGGCAGTAAGGTCGTTATGGCAGTAACGACCTTATACCAATGATGATTTTGAAAATGATTTAAGGGTCCTATTCTAAGCATGAAAACATTTTTATAAAGAAACAGATAGCGTTTCACATTATTTCATTGATAAAAATCATTTTGGAGGACTGTTTCTCAAATCTTCACCAGGACTTTGCTTGTATTTCAAGTTTAAAAACAAATTCATTAACGACCCTTTAGTGCGAATATTTTGTTAATGACCTTATAGTACTAATAGAACGAGTTGTGGTTGAGCAAAGCCTGAAATGAAGCAGCTTTACTAAGACTGAGCAGAGATGGGGGAAGGGGACGAATTTAAGGAATCGAATTTAAAATGAACATTTTCTCGTTTCTTGCCCCCACAAGTAACAAAGGCCAGTTGACCTCAATCTGTTTTCGTGCGTGGTTTGCATGCAAAGTGCGCAGAATCCCCCCGGAAGCACGAAGCCCGCGAATTACCAACGTATAAACCAGTAAGGCTAGTGGAGCCGCGCAAGATGAGGACTGGACATTGTCATACACTGAGCCCATCAAGTGGAACAGCCAACAGACTGGTGCGGCAACAGTTTGTCGGCTGCTAATAATTCGCTGCTCGCACTTCGGGGCCCTTTTTTTTAACCTCTTCTCCGGCATGAAAATCGCCCCGACTAATTCAAACAGGCCGTCTCTCTTTCTTTTTTTTTTTTTCTTTTTTCGAGAGCGCCTGAAGTGCTGGGAGAACTATTTAGCCCGTTCCATTATGCCTGTCACCTCCCATCATAAAAAACCACTCCGGTTTTGACAGGTATATCCTGAGTCTGCGGGTTGAACGGCCGCGGAAGGGAGCGGCCAGAACAACAAAAGAAACTTGGCCCAGTTTGCCATGCAGAGCCCGGTGACGGACGGCCCAAGGCCATGGCCGGGGCGAGCCGACTCAGAAACGGTCGCTCGGTTCTGGCCGGGCTTTTGACAGGCCCGGGATAGAAAAATCGATTCCAAACGACAAGGTTGGTGTGATCCTTTTGCGATACCCAGATGGGGCAAAGTTCCCGATCATGATAATCCCGTTTTGCTTGTCTGGAAGGAAAGTAGGCCCTACTCAATGTACAATATCTTTTGTGCATAATTAAACACAAAGACGCTATCAAAAATTGGAATTATCCAAACGAGACATCAAAGGGAATACCACCAGTGCGGCCTGCTGATCTTTTCATTCAGAATTACAGGACCGAAGCAATTATCTGGTCTTTTCAAAAGTTAATTGAATAACCGATCGTGACGCATAGCTTTGCTTTTTTTTACTCAGTCAGACTGATACATAAAGGGAAAACCGCTTTCGACAGTGATGTGTTTCTCGGAACATATGAAATGAATTTGACCTTCATTGAAAATCATCTGACAACAAAGTACCATTGCAGTGTGAGTCATGGGCCATACCGAGATCTTTCCTAACAGAAAGCTGCATCTTGATGATAAAAACGAGGTTGCGAACGACAGTTTCCGCCGACAGCCGAAACACGTATCGGTTCGCTTGTGAAACGTTCTGACGCCCAATCAGTAAAAATGAGTACCGAGTGTGCTCCCAATCACACGCAGGGTGTGCTATGAAATACCTACTCCCGCACAATTTAGGCTGACCACGATGCTGGACTCTCACCTTCGTCCGAAATATCGTAAATCTCCTTGAAATGACATCAAGGCAGCAGCGCCATCATTTATCCGAAGAATCCTGAAAAAAATTTTTTAAAAGAGCACTTTAACCGAAATGGCAAGTAAAAAAAAGGTTCTCAAATTTGGAGAAGCAGTTCACTGTTGAACAAATTTATTCCTAATTTAAGTTAACGAAATGTACCATTTATTTCTTCCCTTACTACGTAAACGTCATCAGATTTTCTTTATAAATGGATCGGCCACAGCATACCGTGTTCTTTCTAGTTTATGGCTCTGTTATCAAAAAGGGATGACGAATTTGTACGACTTGAGCTACGGCCACAGGTCGATGGAAATGGGTCCAAAGGTGGCCCCGCAACATGTACAAAGGTTGAGCGAGTGGAGGAGGTCAGTAATTAGTATACAAAACGGACAGTGGTGAACGAAGGGGGTTTGGGAGCCTTTGCTGGTCAGAGAGAGGCGATGTCTATCATCGGGGTCGTGAGAAAACGAGCGAGTTGAATACGAATTACGAGATCGACATTCCCTCTTCCATAAATCAATGCAAATACACGTATTTCAGACATCAGCTGGACATTCGGTAACACCTATGGAACCTTGCAGGAAATAGTAACCAAACTATAATAGTCACAGAAAAGGAGGGACACTGGTAGTCATCTTGCGAGGCAGTTCTTTTGTTCCACAGGGAAACCTCCTTTATGTATTCCCTGTGGCCTACAAAATGGCAGCCATGCAAACCCTCTATTTTGTCTTTTTTGTCACGAGTCGGTGCAGTGACCGTGCGAAACATGTTAGATTAAGGTAAATAGGGTGGCGGTTGGAACAAAGTCAGGAACTCACGACAAGCCCCCTTTAAGGCAGAATGACTGCCGTGGATGTCTTCATCTGACATTAGGTATGAATGCTTCGTGGAGCGAGAGAATTAGCAACGCGGTGGGCCGCCAATATGAACGATTCCCCCGTGGAAACTCATCACCAATGGACTCTGCCCTATACCAACCGCTGGCGTTCATAACCAGGCTTGTTCCCGAATGCTACGGACAGCCCCGGTCAGAGCACCCTGTAAATCATGGCCACAGAGCCACGGCAGAGGCCTCTCTGGAATAGTGCCCCACGACGCATTTCTTTAACACGGCTCAGTCTGCCTGTCATCACGGCCACAGAAGGCAAAAGAGAGAGAGAAAATGAGGCCATAAAAGTTAAATATTGGTCTCGGCTCTTTAGCTCTGTCAAAGCAAAGTGACAGCGTTTAAAATTTATTGGAACGCGGGACATGCGTGTTTTATGGGGGAATGCTGATGTTTCTGTGGTGGATTGTGGGTGCTTGTGTTTTGGTCAGCTGGTATTGAATGACTGCACTGCCATTGGTCAGTGAAGAAAATCTTTAAATGCGGTTTGAAGAATGCTGAAAAATACTCAGGATTTGTTCGCGTCTTATGGTTGGAGATAGGAACAAACAAATTCAGGGAATCGACTGCCCTACTTGTAAAAAACTCCCCTGTTTTGTTCAGCTTAAAAAGAGTTAAAGCTTTCAGATTTCACGGAGTGTTTTACTGTTGAAACGTAGAAAAAAAAGAAGCAAAGTGTGTTTCCGAAAGGTGTGATCCTTTCGTCTCTCTTAATTCTTCAGGGCATTGGCGGTGGGATTTCCTAGTTTTTGAAGGGGTGTAAGCCCAATCTCCCGCCTCCCCGTCTCGTCTTCCCCCCTCCCTAGCCCTGCTAAAGTGGCCCATCTCACGCCTCGGCCAAATTATCCTCATGAAGATTTAATGACTTTCCTTTTCTTCTCCATTTTTTTTTGTGCAGGAGACTTGCCACTTCTTTTTTTCTCCCTCTTCTCTCACTCCTTTATCTACTTAATGGTCAGGCTCCCGCCTGGTGAAAACCTGCAGACTTTGTCACCTCTGTCCGCACCGTGTGAAGTTGGGGACTTGTGCTAAGTACCCAAGAGGATCTCGGAAAGGGGTCCATTATGTCTACGCAGCACCGCAGACACACACCCACACAAAGAACCCAAGGCAAGAGGTGTTCCGCCAAGGCTCCCTTGACGGGGGTGTGAAAAAGAGGCCCCCTTTTGCAGCCCCCTTTTCCTTTGTAAAAAAGGCGATTCAATAGGGCGGTAATTACATTAAAACAAGCCGGTCTTTGGCTGAAAGGGAGTCCGGCGCCGGTTATGACAAGGGGGGATTTGTCACGGGTCTTCCCTTGAAAGGATTAGACTTACAGCCGGGGATCATCTCGTCGGATGGGAATTATCGTTCGAGGCTATCGATTTTCTGTTCCTTCCGTTTAGCCATTCTCCGAAGAAGAGTGTTTGTGTTCACGTGAATGTTGTATAAGAGAAAACTCTTTTCCTTCATTCTTCAGCGGGTGGTGCATGGCTCACTCTTTTCAGCGGAGCTAGTCTTGAGTGCAGCCAGCATGGCCGGGGAAACTAGGTGTGTATTTCTGGACGGTGAACCCAAATGGACATTAATTTTTCTGCAAACTTAGTCTACTTCTTCATCTGCCTCCCCGATAGAATCGATCATCGGCCTCAGACGACGCGTCAAAGTGTCAATCATGACGTTACGACTGCTCTGAGCTGAGGACGACTCGATCTGCAACGCTGTACGGAGGACTCAAAATTCATCGATTCGAATGCAAGAAAAATCGAATCAATCTTTGAAAAAAGGACTGATGCCGGTTGTCAAGGCGTTCTCGAAGGTAAGGTTTGGTTACTTTCCGTAAACCCAGAATATTACTTCTTTAATATAACTTAGTCAAAAAGGTTAATTAACGAGTTTTTCGATTGAAATGTAAGATTTTTCACGTTTGAAACATGGTTTCAAACCGTCCGCGATTCGAAGAACCGAGTCTGCCCTATGTTGTGGTCGGGTTCCTCCAGTTAGCTAAATACTACGAACACATCATTTTGTCAGCACGAAAAAGGGTACCATAGGCTACAGTAAGACAGAATCAGCATTCTAAAACGGCATGTTATGGTTTTACGACAACTTTGCGTCTGGTTAGCCAGCATCTGATTTTTGTCTTAAACAAAACTGCGCACGATATGGAGTATCAAGACAGACCTTTCCCGCAAGGAAACATAACTCCCAACGTATTCACGCATCGTTGACGGAAATTCGCGGCGTCTGTCAAAACTGTCCCGTGCGTGCCAAGGGAGGTGCACTGCACCCTTGACTTTACACTGCCAACCTGTGAAAAAAAAAATCCCTAACAACAAGTGTAATCACCCGTGCCTCTCGGAAAGTTCGCTCCCGTTCACTCCAGCGGATTTGACGCCCTTCACTAGATGTATGTTTTTTGGCTCGACCGTTTTTTGTTGCTCGATGTGCGGGCATTACATGCAAAGCCCGCTCTTGCGGAAGAACACTTCCGCATTAGTGCGACCCCTGAATACACACGACCTAATGCCAATCAAGACAGGCTACAAAAATAATAACAACAAGAAGAAATATTCGCTAATGCCCGTCCCGTCTTGTCCAAATTTACACTTTATTTTGTTAGGAGTGCAATAGTTTTATTTTCCTTTCTGCCTCCCTCCTGCGTTCTTTTTCTTCCCTGTTTACCTTGTTGGAAAGCATATTACAGGGCCTCTGACCAGAATAAACACAACTGGTCGCTCGGTCTTGGCAAAGCCTTCTCCGCATTGCGTTAATGGCGGCGGTGGAAGGACCACCGGTTGAACCCCGGTGACAAATTCAGTGATTAGCTCTGCCGGGTCATTCTACTTTTTCTCTTCAGCGTGCGTGTGTGTGACGAGAATGCACGGCCTGGATTGTTTGCGGAAGCCGCGTTATTTTTGCAGGCGCGTTTTCTGCGCCGTGAAGTTTTTTTTAAGGGGGAGCAAAGGGTGGGTGTTAAGAAGTGGGTGACTGAGTCAGACCAGGGGGAGAGGGTGTGTGCCAGAGCATATTGGATGATACAGTCATTGTTCAGAGGAGAAAGGCAGAGCCGGGTTACAAAGGGAACCAAAATGACGTCGGACTATACTGAAACTCTATTGTGATGTGGCAAGAGTTGTAACATTACATAGCACACCTGACCAAGTAAAAATAATACATAATTATGCACATAAGCCTGGGTGTTACATCACAGAGCCAAGACGACTAGTACACAGGAGACTTTTGTTCCTGATTATCTGCGCCTAAGTGCGTCACTGGAACACATGTGCCGAAGGCGAAAATGCAAAGCCCACGAGATGTATTTGGCGCTCGTTTCAAGATTGTCCGTGTGTGTGTGTGTGTCCAACGGCTACATCTCTTACAACTCAAAGCACGCTCCAAGTCACGCCCCGTGTTAAACGCCTCCCTGGCCCCCTCACAGCTGGTAGACCCCTGATAATTCTGCCGGGTTGTCGGGTAAATAGCCACGCTAATGGGCCCCACAAATCAAATTAAACCGCGCCGGCCTAATTTCTGACGCAATTTACAGGCCGTGGTCGCGACCAATTAGCGCCCGGCACTCTGCGTCCGCGCCGCGAAATCAGCTTAAGGCGGATCTACGACAGTTTCGGGGGGGGGTCACAGGCTTTCTTGACCCGAGAGAACTTTCGGGCGGTCGAGCATGCACATTGAGTATTCTGTAGGATATGGGGATGAGCCTGGAAAACACCGGTTATCCCAAAAAAGTTGCAATGAATGGAGAACGGGAGTGAAATTTGACAGGTCAACGCAATCGCAAGGGGCTGTGTTGTTCTTCAAGGCTTTAGGCGGGCCGGGGCTTAACACTTTCACACCCGGACAAGGGACCTCAATGGGGGAGGGGGGGGGAATCTGTGGTCCCATTTGCGGTGCCTGGGCCTGGTCTGAGCTTCGGGGTAAACTCACTTGCCCAATTATCCCCTCCCCCCGTGATTATGTGTCACAAAAGTCCCATTATATCGAACGGGGCAGGCACAGAGAGCCGAGAGGTGATTTTTTTTCCCCTGGCCATGTGTAAACCCACCTTCTTTATATATTTTTTTTTGGTTTACAATGTGTACTATACTCCATGGGATACAGGGTCTCAAGAGAAGAATGTGCCCTCTATGACATACGATACGACAATCGAGCA